ATAAACCCAAAACGAATATGGTTGGTGAAGGATAGCGAAGATATTCACGGATTGCAAAAATTTACGCCGATCAAATTTCCGTGACATACTGACAAGCCATTTTGTGTTGTTGTACAATGGTGGCGGTTCGATCATGCGTCACTTACCTTGAACTTTTGTTGCCTGTAGTTCAAGAAACGTCATCTTTGAAAACCTTTCCGTAATTTCTTCGACCTTCTCGCACTGAACTGAAATAATTCCCAGCGAAAGTATCTCGATTATTATGTTTACCCTCCATTTTACACCTATCTTCCCATGCAGCCAAGTGTGTCGCTTTTCTAAAAATATTGAATTACAGATGATGCCGCGCGTTGCCTGGAGATCCATTATTAGCTTCAGCAATAGCGCCACAGTTAAAGTCATACGTCATTTCACTTCCTCTTAACATACCCCTTTCAGTATGAAGGAATATTGTCCAACTCACTGTTCGATTTAGGTTTGAAAGGGACGGTGGTACAAATGAGTCATGCAGTTTTACCGTAGTACACATCAGATGATCTGTACTTTAAGAAAAGGTGCCGCTTACAAAATTAGAGCAGAAGCAGCTCATAAGTATGGAAATTACCCGAATATCAACTGTTCCAATTCAAAACATAGTCATGTTGTCCCAAGACATAACATTTTCAAACGAAATCCTCCTTCGCAGATAAGAAAATAAAAGCTAAAATTTCCTTTGTGTAATTGCGCGATATTCCCATGTTTAAAGTATTATTGAACCATCGTACTAAAATGTTGAAATTCTTCAACTTCCCTTACTTCTTAAGCGTACCTCGCCAGGGACATATCCCTATCTTGCATCAGAGAGGCGAAGACAAACAATTTCTTCTTGAAGGTGCGATAGAACTAGGGTTATGTTCGGAATACTCGCCTATCTTGAGCTTGAGGCGCCTGTATAGAAAGTCATTTATGAACTGCGTTTCAACGCTTGCTCCAAGAACTGCTAATAGATGATTTCCAGTGATTACAATTCGATCATAAACAAGTAATCTCTCATCTTGAGTTTGAGATTTCTATATTTCGAGTCGAGTCATTTACGAATGTCAAGTCATCATAAGGAACTCGGCATGAATGTAAGTGACCTCTAAATTTAGCAATTCAATCATTGTTCATTGTGTGAGAAACGTGAAGGGCAGATGATGTCGCGCAATCATACATAATTTTAATGATGCATGATTGCGCGACATCATCTGCTGTGTTAAAACACTTCGCCACATTTAAACCAATAAATGCATTTTCTCCCACCTACGCGAAGTGGCTTATATTGCTAGTCTACCCTGTGTATCAGTGGGCAAACTTAGTGTAATCTACCTGTTTGTTCTCAGGTACACTTTTCATTTCGTATCGGTTGGAGACGATCAAGCAGTGGTAGTCTCAATTGTGACTAAAACATGAAAAGCAGCGGTCAACTTATTAATTACGGAGGCTCGTGGAAAGCAGGATGTGACAATTCGTATAATTCATTGTGTGGGTCTTCGCTTACCATTTCAAACACCTATTTCTACTGCACTGATTATAGTGTCCCTGAGGATTGGACAGTGGGCGAAAATAACTTCACTTACACTTTCAGTAACAGCGAAAAGCAGTGGCACGTGAGGTATGTTTTCTTACATCTTAAGAACTGAGCAGAAGGAAACTTCTGTTAAGTTCCTTGCTGTCATATTTTCTCATCACACTGTACTCACTCGCCGTCTGAGATGCATGTGAGAGAAGCATGTGCTAAAGGACTCGATTTAGAGACACCTCAAGAGGCCGGATCATGTTCTCGATATAGGACTTAAGTTTGTCAATCTAGTTTGTCAGATGACATGTTTTAGGAACAACGAGGTCCACAACCGAAAAACTCGTTGCAATTTTTAGCCAACGTTCTCATAGTAGGTTTACATGACAATCCAACGGGGACCTAAGAAAATGACGATGATAATTTTTATGATAATAAAAAAATGATCATTAAATGACATCAAAAAAGAGGCTTTTGCCAAAAGGTAGCAATTAAGCTGTTATATTGTTTTTACGTTACGATAGGAATGATACCACTGTACCAAACTGTTCAAATACCGGCCCCGTTAAAATGTCAAAATAACTTACAAACTATTATTGGACAAAATACTAGAAATGAGTATTTTAGATCGCTAAAGGTTACAGTGAAATGAAAATTTAAAAAAAGGTTTCGTTAATAACCGACAAAATCTCGTTGATTTAGGCGCATACTCAAATACGCAATAAGACAACTTCAAGGCTTAAATGCGAGGTTGGGTGAACAAAAGTCAAAAACCAGATGGTAGCTCATTACAACTTTTCTATTTTCTCTCTTCCTACAAGTTATTCAGGTTGCTGTTGGATTTCTCTAAGTCATTACGCTGGTTCCGCAGGTTGGAAAGTAGAAACTGCAATAAACCTCGCTCCACGATCGGATAACGGAAAAATTAACTCATCTCCTGTAACACGAAGTCCAGCCATTGTTCGATTTCCAGGAGGTTGTCGCCAGTCATTTCGAATTCCAGTTGAAGACCCAGATGGCGATACAGTGAAATGTCGCTTTGCGACTTATTCGGAGTCCCACAAAGTCAATACAAGTTTTCCTTACGGTAAAATGGATGAGGTAATTGAAGGCAGGATTTACCAAAAGTTGAAATGGTCTTATTTTATTTTTATTTTTTTTAATACTAATACTAATAAATTTTACAGTACTCGACAATACAATGTAATACGATGCATTACTTACAAAACTGCTTACTTGCACTAATAACAATACACTATATGAAATAGTCTTATGATATAGTGCATCGTCTAAAAAATTTGGTTCGAGGTCTAGACGTTCGGGAAAAAAAATGCATGGTGCGAATTTTCCAGAAAAGAAACGTTGAGTATCATAGGGAAACCACCGTAGTATGTCAGGGGCTGAAGTGTGTTCTAGGCTCCGGGAATACGTCTCCTCACGAATAGGAAAATATGCATCATTCAGCGAACTCAAAAGGGAGTTATCAGTTACTATCAATTTCCCTCGCAGAAATCTTGTGTTCTAACTTACAATGGGTCGCAAGTAGCAGTTGGCGGAATTTTTGCAATAGCATTAACTTTAGAAGACTTTCCAGCGGGGACTACAAACTTCGCTAGCGCCACACCATTCAGTGGTATCCCATTACAGTTTCTTGTCATGGTGATTGGTAACCATGCTGGTCATTGTGACGAAAAGCCTGTCTTTACAGCATCCACCCCAAAAGATGGTGAATGTTCCGATCTTCCTATTGGCTCCGCCTATAGAGCAGTGATCGAAGTACAGGTTGCAGACTTCTCAAAATCGTATGTAAACTAAACAACTTGCCATTCATTAGTTTCTTCCTTAAATTTTTCTTCCACTTAAAAGACGCAAATACCTAACTTTTAAGATCCTCATAGCCAAAAAGATTACAAGCTCCCATAAATAATGACCAACTTTGAAGGGTGTTAATATAAGCTACCATACAAATTCTATCTCATTCAGGTCGTTAAAATGATGAAGAATTTCTATTAGAGCAGAAAAAAATAATCAATTAACGCTTTACGGTTTTCCGCAAACATCTACTCGAGTAAAATTGGTAACGCAACAAGTTATAATTTCTAGTACGGAACCTGAACATTTCTCAGCATTTGAAGTCATTATCATTTATGATAAATTTAAAGTTATTCTATTCAATTACTTTAGCATTGTGGAAATAAGCACTGCATCTCCAAGTGGAATGCAAATTACATCTTTACGCAATCATGGACAAATCTACTACCGAAATGTCACGTGGTACCCAAGTCAATATCAAATTGGACAGCAGTTGTTCTGCTTTAAAGCAAGCGACTCTGCTGGGTAAGAATTGCAGGTGGTATGATCATTAACCCCAAATATATTAATTTAGGCGGTTTGCAGTTTTCAATCGTTGATCTCGAATCGTTGGAAAATTGAAAAATTTCTCCTGTCGAACAGGTAGGTTAGTCGTGTTTTTTTGCTCTGCTGGGTAAGAAGTAAAGGTGTTATGTACATCATTATTAGAGGAATAACTTCACTATTGTTAATCATTAGATTCAGTATTTTAATAAGGGAAA